ATTCTCTGTTTGATTCACAAGCAATAGAAGCGATGCAAATTATCGCAAGATCTTTTGCAGATCATAATTGAAATGGAGATTTTACATACATATAATTAATGCAAATCACATGTACATCTGTTACATGTTTGCATACTAAACAATAATAGGTCAGGATCTGTGATATCGATCTCTATAATGAGAACTGGAATTCATAGTAACACGCGCGTTAGTATGTCCCATCGGCCACAATGACCGAATCTCTAAACCCGCTGTAATTGAATGTCCACTGTGCCTTCTGTTGCAAATGTCTAATCTGGTATTAAAACTTATCTGTCTGTTACCCCGGATTATGCTGGATAATTGCCATATTTTATTGCGAAAGTTCTGAGTTAATGCAACATTAAGTAAAAGGATTTGTAAAAAAAATTTAAAAAAAGTTTAGTTTATCGTTCTATAATTATTTATTTATTTATTTTCTTTATTATTTAGTTTAAAAATTGTGTATAAATAAAATTGTGTATAATAAAATTTGTAGAGAAATTGAAGAAAAAGTTTTATTTATCATTCTTCAATTATTTATCTATTTTTTTGTTTGTAAAATTGTATAGAAATTAATATAGCACAATTTGCAATATATGTATGTGTCACGCATTTTCACTGAAGTTTAATGCAAGTATGAATAATCTTTTATAAACATGTTAAATTATGTGCATTTTTTCGATAGCGAAATGAATGATCGTGTTAATAGTTATTTATTGAATTTTAAGTAACTGACTGATTAAAGTCTGTTTATGTAACGAATCGTGCGAGACTTGTTGCTCCGAAATCTGTCCGATAGCGCAATTATTCGCTGAATCGATAATTACATTCGTAAACAAAATGAACAAATTTTTACGGATTATTTTGAATTAGTATACATTTACGTACGATATATACTTCCACGCGTTACTTAAGAACATGCATATATTTTACAATTATTTTCTGTAATGTTTATTATATATAATATATATTATCTACACAGTATATCGCGCGTAATATAATTTAATTATGTTTTTTTTGTAAAAAATAAAAGAGTTGTATAGATCTAAATGATTAAAAGCATTTTGTTTATTCGTTTATTTTAACAACAATAATTTTAGTTAACAATACACGAAAGATTGCGATTGATTTTATACAAAAACAGTTTAATACACAAGAGGTACGAGAAAAACTCACGCCACTGTTCAATCTGGAGAGAAATCCCTCGGTTCGTCGATTCGCGTTTCTATTTTTGCCAGTATTTGTTCACCCGTGTGAGTACGTGTGCCTATCGGTATCGACAATACGGGGAGGCATAAATATCGACGAGAGAACGGCGAAAGAAGTCGAACGCAGCAAACGCGGTCGCCATTTGTCATAAAATATAAAGACTATACTCTTCAGCGCATAGAAATAGGGCCGACAATGCAAGACATAAGAAAATTAAAAGGCTACGAACTAGCAAATTATCTAGTGTTCTCGAAGTAAAACATATATGCGCGATTGTATTCTGAAGGTAGAAATGAGGAAATGAACCGGCATGGGGTGAATCTATTTTAAAAGATCCACGTTTCCCTTTTTTTAACGTTATAAGATTTAACTGAAACGAAGAATTCCCTGTGCATTCATTCCGCGTAGCAATGTGTGCTTTTGATTTCCTCAGCCTCCGATATCTTTTTCTCGATTGTTCTTGATCGAAGAAGACAGTCATACCGGATATTAACTGGATTTTCTTCCGTGATCTTGTGCATTTTAAAGGTTACGTACGATAAAAGATTTGAATCAATGCGAATCGTGCAAATGGAAATTTGAAATGCAAAGAAAGTGCGCAGGAAGGTATTGACGTAACATATTTCGCGCTTATATAAAATGCTGCAATATAAAAGATCTTTCGCTTTTTTATTCTTTTATTAAATCAATAGTTAAATTGCAATAAATGAAATTCAAAATTATAAAAATGTTATTTTAAATAGAAAGAAAATAAAAAAAAAATAAAAGAAGGCTGAGCATTTATTTGCTAGAACATTTTATGTACTACATGAAAAACTGTGTTGAAAAAAAGAAAAGAAAAATATGAAAGGTTTCAGTGGCAGGGTTATCACTCGTTTAATTAAATCGTAAACCGATGTTTAATTTAGATATCTCGTTTCAAGCCGTTCTTTCCATCAATTTTTTCTATTTCATATCTCGTTCTATTAATTATATGAAATTGGAACCGATAAACGAACAGGAAAATTTTATTGTCTCGCGGGAAATTTCTTTTTCTCTCCATTGAGAATAAAACATCAATTCTAGCCAGTTGGAGTTGATTCCGGAGCAAATTCGCAAAAAGAAAGTTTAATATCGATGTTAGTAAATAGCCTCTGATCTCTCGTTGATGTGCCGTTGAACTGAAGTTAGATAATAATCCTTGCACTGCTCACGTCATCTCCATGCGATAATCGCTCATTTAATATCCATTCAGGGAGGTCTCCGTACCGAGGACAAAAAGACAGTTGTGAAATCATCTGCTTTAGACTATAATGGTTTTACAATTACAATACAATGGAATCTGTACAAGATATGTATTTGCCAACTGCCATAAAATTTTTTCTTCGGAAGCAAAACTTGATCTGAACAAAAAAGATATTAATGGCAGAAAAAAGATAATAAAGATAATAAAGGCAGAAATAATGATATTTGTGATACTAAATAAAAGATATGATAAACAAATAAAAAATCACATTAATTTCTTCGCTCTGCTGAAACAGCGATTCAGTGATTCACTTTTCCACTATTCAATCAATATTAAAATTATTGCATTATGTTATTTTATTAATAATCTAGTAATATATTTTGATAATCATTGAAACTGAATGGAACTTAATATTTTTGAATTTTTATTTTCTTATTTAACTATGTCATTTTGAACGTGAGATAAGTTACGATATTTGCGATGATATTTAAGTTTTTTGCAAAATACATTTCAATTATTTTGATATATATAATCATTTATTCTACGCAAAGATTGCTCAGAAGCATCACGTTTGTTGAAATTCTGACCTAAATGTGATTTCGCGCATTATTACATTCGTTAGAGAGGTAGGAAGTTATGATTTATTTGTGATAATCCGACAAACTTGGCATTTCTCAGCTGCGTTTGTCGGCCAAATTCGCATAATTGTTGTACTCCGGACTCTAATGAACGATGTGGTTCAGGTTAGGTGTATTTACTTTAGAGTATTGTGACGAGGCTCGTATGTGCTAGTTAAGACGATGAATTCTCCTCAAAGTTGTTCTTCGAGTCTTACTATGAGATCTGATACGCCCTGTGGGATTTCATATAAATGTTTGATCAAGTGTTAGGATTCTCCCAGCTGAACAAAGTAACTCGCTAAACAAATATTATGTCTTCTTCTCTTTTTCTCTTTCTAATAAAAGTTTCGGCAAATTGTGTTTCTTGTACATATGGGAAGAGATGTGTAAAAGATTCAATTTTCTCATCGATAGAAAAACAATTCTTTATAGAGCATTCGTTTCCAAACACGACACTTACATATTGATTCGAAATGTTCAATGATTTTCTAAAATTATACTGGATGTAATAAATATAAAAATTCAATGATTAAGTCAAATTAGACGATTTAATTTTTATAAAATTAAAATCTCTAAATATATTTCAAATATTTTATTAGTAATGTATTTTTAACAAGATAAAAGTAACTCAATATTTATTTATATTTTAAATTGATTTTACATGTGGATTTTTTTGATTATGGAATATTTTAAATTATTTTTTATCTTTTTTTTATAAATATTTTCCTTAATCGCATTATTTTTAATATTCAAAATTAATTTTCGAAAAAAATAAGTGAGATTCGTGTCTAAATACTGTGCAAAAATAAATTAAAAAATTATATTTTTATTATAAGAGAATAAAAATCGCGCAGAGTATTTCTTTCTATATCTCTAAACAAAACTATTTTGATGGAAATTCCTATTGGTTGATTAGTCCCCATATAAACGCGCCTTGGCTCCGCTCGTGAACCCAGCAACAGCTGCGAGCAATCCGTAAGTTTGTATACAGGCGTTTCCGTTCGAAATTTTAGTCTCGAAGAGATGAAGCTGTCGTGGAAAATAAAGTTATAATAGCAGAGATGGCTCGCTAAAATCGAATTGGTGTAGTTTGAAAGAATCGACATTTTAAAGATGCTTTCTAGACCATCTGGTCAATCGACAAATCTCAAGTTCGTCGGTTCTAGTGTGAATACAAACGATTCGCGAAGTTTCTTCAAGGGAATTTGCAGCTGGCAAGGTGGTGAATGTAGATACTTGCAGCTCGCGAAACTGACAGACATAAAACAACTCTAGCTCCTGATCGTGTTTGTGTTTTGCGTGCTCCATTATTCCGGCTGGACTATGGAGAGAAATGATAAATACGAGGCGTCTCTGGGGATACATGTTTCAGGAAGATATGTATTACTCAAGTAAATAAAAAAGTTATATAACAATAATATTTGCACAAAAATTATATATTTACGCGAAAGATATGAAATTGAGTATGACAAGTTTTATTACAGTTTTATTTATTTATTTATTATGATTATTAGATATGTAATCAGTTTTATATCTGGTATTTAATATTTTTAAAGTAATTTAATATTTTTAAAGGAACAAAATATATATAATTTTAAAAAAATTAGTAATATTTCTTTTTACGCGTTTTTCTTTTCATTTTACGAGTCTTATTGTGGTAAAAAAGAAAAAATAAAAAGAGTCAAAACTCAAAAATACGTTTTTAGTTTGATGAAAGAAAAGTGTGAAATGTGGAAAGCATAAAGAGCGTACCGTTGGTTTTTAAGTTCATACTGTTTTACTGTTTTTGACACGTAATAAAAGATACGCTGACAGGATGTGATGTTTATGTAATTGGGTACTTCGTGATATGCCGTCCGTCGCACTCTCTTAATTACACAAGTGGTCTGCGTACTAATTACGGATACGACATTCTTGTGTTCTAGGTGAGGCGAGGACGTGAGGTTTGATCCGATGAATGGAACCGTGCTTTGACAAAGGTATTGTCTAGAAATAATTTCGAGCAAACAAATATGGACGCGATTAATCTTCATCATTTAAACGCGCCCGTAATGCGAAAGATCTCGCGAGCTCTCTTCTTTTCTCGGACAATATTCTTTTCAGAACTCTCCACTCACAATACGAAAAGTGAACATATGTGACATGTTTTTATTTTATTTTGCCTCTGTGAAATTGTTTCTATAATAGAGCAATGTCTGTACACGCTAAAAAAGAAAATGATATATTTTAATAAAAATTATAAACTTAATAGAAATTATAAATTATACATTTTTAAGAGTGGCAGCAAGAAGTTTCTAAAGAAAACTATAACATGCATCTGAATATAAAGCAACTGAGTAATCACCTATATTAAATTTTAACATAAAAATATTAAATTTGTAAATATTAATTAATTTTATAAACACGAAAAAAGATAAAAAATGAGTAACATTCCTCCAGGAAATTATATTATATGTATATTCATAATTCATCGAACTCATATTTTATACTAATATAATACTTGAAAATACATTTTATGAAAAATGCAATGCTATATAAAGATACACGACATTGAGCTTAATATCGTGTCTTGAGGGGGATTAAAGTAATCTTTGCAGGATTTTCTCAAAGATTTGCGAATCACCGATGGACCCAAGAATTCCATGAAATCGCTTTTCAAAGTTATTACTGCATATTTATCGATTCCTGCCGGCAAGCGAATCGAAATTATTTTGTCACTTGAATTAATTTGTTCGACTAGAATTCTGAAGATTTATTGGGCTCCGTTGTTAAATGTCATTCTCATCGATTAAACTAATAAATCTTAATTTATCGAATTATTACGTCTATAATAAAAAACTTATATATATAAACAACTATATTTATAATTTCTTGAATTTTTTAGCAAATTGTTATTAAATTACTAAAAATATAATCTCGACGATCATCAAAATTTTTAAAAATGTTTCCAGATTTGCAACTCATATTTTTTACGTGTTTTATATTTCCTTTAATTTAAAAATTTAAAAATTTTTTTTCCTTAAGATTGTTTCATATATATTGCTCTTCATATAAAATACAAGAATTATTAAATATTTTGTAGAACTATAACAATAATGACTTAATAAGCTTATATGTTACATCACATGCGACATATATGTTAGCATTTGCAATGCAGATTCGAGATAGTCTCTTGAGAATGCATCATGTCATAACATATGCATGTTTCGCAAATTCAATCGTTTGTCCCGCAACATTCATGTAACACACACATATCCTATAAGAACTCTTGATGCGTTCTAAAGCTCCATGTGTTGCGATGATATTTACACCGACTTACACGCAAAGTACCTATCCACGGCGTTCCTTGGTCACGGTAAATTTCCAGCTTGCTCTTGCTTCCGCCATCGCGAAGGAGCGGAAGAAACTTCCCTCTTCCTCTCTCCTTGCAACCCCTTGCCTGTTTGCTCATCCGTTCGTAATGCAGCATCTTCTCGAAAGTGCAGAGAAACACGAGACACGCGGAAATATGAGCTCGGCATGTGAAATTAATGCGAAATTCGTTCTTCAGGAAATAGGATGAAGTGAAAGAGAAGGAATATAAAGAGATGATTGTATGTGCGATATACTATAACGTTAGAAGATAGTTTGTACAGAGAGACATTTCATATCTGAAGTTGCATACTCTCAAATTTGCAAATGTTTGCTTGCGCTTTATCCTCGGCAAGACGATCGAGAGGTAAACGATTTCACCTATTGCGAACAAGCGACAAACACGAGCAAACCTTTGGAAAGGGCAAATGTCTCCCGGGGACGCGTTTCACATTGAAATGCTGACAAGGAACAAAGGATGCGACTGGAGAATAAAGAATTAGATCGAAGCATTACCACGATCGAGAAAGAGAAAATTCGAGATTGACTCCACTTGACCGCTTACGTCACACTTTAAAAGCTCTTCTTCTTTATTGTCTGCGTTTTCAGTCTTGCACCTATTCCGATTGGTACGATTGTGTTAATAAAACTACGCGTTTTCACAATGTAAAAATGAGTTTTCGATGCTCTTTTTTCTTTGGTTGCATCTATTTTACCTGTTGAATATTAGTACAAAACGAGAACAATTTTTTTCTGGTTTTTTCTCTTTGAAAAATTGCATTAATCGAGATAAGCTCGAGTACAGTTTAGAGAAGAATGATAAAATGAAAGAGATAAGAATTGATAAAAATATCCGTATTCGAAAACGCGTTCATAAAATTTTTAATAGAGTTCTAGAAGCCATTCGTATATCCGTAAAAGCACTTTATGCCACGTTTTGAAAGCTTCTCTCACGATATTCCATGTACCGCGTTGCGATTTAAGCCAATTCCGTGTTTCCCACGTGACTGAAATAGATTTCAACACCGTTGCTTTACTTCGTCATCTTACAAAAGTAAACGTCTTTTAGAGAAAAAAATTTATTTAAATACAAATTTCGTGAAAAAATTTATTTAAACACAAATTTCGTTATCTTCTTACTTTAAAATTTCATGCGAAGCGTTATTTATGTTCAATTTCTAGCTACAAATATATCGATATTGAAATGTAATTTTAAGATCGATTTTATATATGATATTGTATAATAAATTCCATTTTTTCTATTTTAATCTATACTATATGTTACAATTATATATATAGCTTTTTCATCCATTTTTATCTCAAATTAATTTTTTTTTCATTTTCTTTATTTATTATTTTCTGTCTCATTTATCAAAATAACTTATCAAGTATTAAAACTTGCTGATAAATATTCCATTAATTTATCACTAAATTTTTCAAATTTAAATAATTATAATATAAATAATTATAATATAAATATTATGATACAATGATAGAATATTCTCTTTGTATGTCATTGCAAAAAATGAAATAATAAAGAAATCCAAACTTTTAGAAATGAAAGAAATAACAAGAAAAATTGAAAAACAAACAAAAAGAAAAAGATATCTGCTTTGCCTTGAAAATTTAGCTCTTCTGCAGCGCTCTTAACATGTTTCGATTCAGACAAAATCGAATGCTGCAGAGATTTTGCAGTTTCTTGATTTTATACGATTCACTTCTGGTGAAAATTCTATGCTAACTCATAGCATTTAACGTACGACGTGAACTGACTTAGAATCAAGGAACCGCATTCATTAGCATTTCTAAATAACTTGAATTAATCATGAATTTTATTCATCTTAAACTTACATTCGTAAGCATTGAAATAGACGATTTAACCAAATCGCAGAAAAAGTTGTACAATTAAATAAAATTTATATGTATAAACATATATAATGTGTAATACATTGTTTTAAAGAAGGATTTCAAAATTTATATATAAAAAGAAAATACACGAAAAACCTTTGATTTTAAAGAGATATTAAAAATAGTATAACATCATTATTATTTGTATTTTAAGTTATACTAAATTATAAGCAAGATAATTGTTAGTAAATAAAGTCTGTTAAATAAACTCCATTTCTACTCGATGAAAGTTTATACAGCGTAAGTATCAACTCGAGAGTACTCATGGACCGATCATCTTGCCGCGCTTTTTCGTTTCTCGTTTATACCTCTATTTATATTCGTTTATATCCTCTATTGACTCTCGCATTTCTTCTTCTACGTATATTTTTTTTAATAGTATACAGAAGACGCGCTTATTTATATATTCGTTTGCGTTATTATCTTTATTCACAATATAACAATTTGTTTGAGCATCGGCACTTACATTGAAAAGTAATTGACATAATAAATCCATTGATTATTGCATAGTTATTTTTCAAAAAAATTATACTATTTAATAATACAAAATTGGATATATAATGGCTAAATAATTTAGAGTATAAACTAACTTATATGTAATATAGAAATTTTAAATTCTAAATTAATATAGAATTAGAGCCTATTTTTAGAAAAATTTGAAGAGCAAAATGATTTTAATTTTTACACTATATAAAACACGTGATCACATATACATAGTTCTATTAACAAGTTTCTCAATCATAAATATTTTTTATTTAATTCCGTTTAAATATTGAAAATCACATGCTACTATTAATATCGAATTGCGATTATCTACATAAATATATATATATATTAATATTTATTTTTTTTATATAAATATTTTTATTATATATATATATATATATATATATATATATATGTGTATATATGTTTATTTTATTATTATAGAAATTTCTTCTTTTCTATAGATATGTAAAATTCCCAATTCATTTACTTTATCTAGCAGTCAAGATAAGCAGTCAAGTCTAACGTTAAACTTCATGTCATGTTAACCAAGAAGTATTTCACTACATACAGTACAAGCTTGAATTAAACAAAGAATCTTACTTTCTGGTTTCTCCCCGTATATATCGTGCATGTTGATTAAGAAAAGAAGCAATTCAAAACAAAGATGTAAATACTTGTAAGATTGTAATTAATTATCATGTTATCTTAATTTATTTTGTATCCACTAAATTAATTGTATATACATATATATATATATATATATATATATATATATATATATACATATATATGTATATGTATATATATTTAAAGAAAAATTTCGATCAAATTGACCGGAAACACCGCCGATTAATATTGATAAAGTAGCCGGTCAATAAAAAAGCCGCACATGCAGATCGAAGGACGGACAGAAAAAGATTTGAGTCTGGTACTGTCTTGTATTTGTTTTTTGTAGAGCTGATTCGACGCTTGAAATGAGATTTTCGTCGGAATCACCGATTTATTCGCGGTAGCCTCGTGAAAGCAAAAGCACACCGAGCTTTCTCAAAAGCTCCCTTGAGAAGGACACGATTGCAACCGTGAAAACGTGCAAGTTTACAGTTTCTTCTTGAGTTCTCGGAACGATTTTTTTCTTCTTTTTTTTCCTTTTTTTAACACGTCTTACGCCGTTATGGGAAACGAAGGAAAACCACGATGTGCCGATATTTCACGCGTGGTTACATTTTTATCA